GACCGGCTTCCTGGAAGGGCTCATTGCTGAGTTAGTTCAGTGAAGAGAGGAGACCAAGGTGCATTGCCTCAGGTGATGGGGGTTTGGTGGAGGAGGACCCAGAGAAGGAAGAGAGGTGGGGAACGTTTCCATAGGCCTCAAGGAGAACAGGGAGGCTCTTCAAGGTCTAGTGTTACTCTAGCAACCAGTTGTTCTCCCCTTGAAAATGGGGAGGGGGCTGGGAACCCGGCTTCCTGCACCAACTTCCCACCATTATGGTGCTCCACCTGTGTCTGCCTCTGGTCTCTCGCTGCCTGAGACTGGCCCTTCTTTCTGCCGTCCTGTGGCTCCTGATTCCTGCCCTGACTTTACGTATTGCTCCATTCCTTGTGATGCTCCTCATGTGTACTATAATGAAGCATTCTTAAAAATAACGACCTAGTTTGAGCATGGGCACAAGGGTTGGAGTCACAATCCACCTCTCAGGCTAATCCAGCAAACCCAGGTGGCCAGGCGATCTGGTGCCGAGCAGGTGTTGGAGCTACCTGTGGGCGTGGTTGGCCCTCAGAGGGCCTGCATCCCTTGCACGCCCCATCCCTTGCAAAAGCCAAGCAGACCCCCCAGTCCTAGGGGGATTGGAGAAGAACTGACATACTAGGCAGATTTCCAGAAATTGCCAGGATTTCCAGACAAGGGGAGTGAGATGAGGTTTCATTTTCCAGACCTGAAAGGCAGGGTCAGGGTGTGGTATCTGGAGCAACCCACAAGACCATAGCTGGGTGACATGTTAGGTGGAGTCGGTAAGGTCGAGGGGCACGGTGGTACATGTCGGATGGCTGGCCTAACTGGCCCGAACCCCCTCCTGCTGGGGTCGGTCCTGCTCCTGGATACCGAGGCTGGGCTGGGCTTGCAGGGAAGGGTCTGCAGGCTTCAGCTGTGACAATAGGCAGGCCAGGGACATGATGGGCTGATCGAGGCCATAGGGGACAAGTCCAGATGGACCCACATGCAGCAAACCACAAAAACCACCATGTCTGCCTGGAGAAGGGGCCTTCACACATACCACATGCTTTCGGGACCCATTCTCACTTGTAAACTCCCAAGTGTTGGCAGAAGCACCTGATCTGTGAACGTATTCCTAAAGCCACTTCAGAGGAGACTCCTTCCCGGGGGATTTAAGTGGGGTTCATCGCCAGAAGCCACAGGATAACAATATAGGAGGGGGTGCCTGTGGGTGGTGAGTCCCCTGAGAATATTCCAGCAGAGGCTGAAGGGTCCCCGAGCAGCCGTCCTGCTCAGGGGTGGCAAGCATTGGCTGCAGGCAGGGTAGGGGTTGGACCCTGGGGTCTGGGAGGCCCCTCCTCTGTCTGACACCACATGGCTTAGAGGTTCTGGCCTCTGCCTTTATCAAGCCTACCATTCCCAGGCTGCCAGGAGCAGGAGGGGCCTCACAAGAGTCCTGGCGAGTTCCCTGCTATCTTGTAGGTAAATGGCAACTCATTTAGGATGCACAATTGTCTGAATGCAACATAATTATATGTGTAGGTCATAGCTATTTCTTATATGACCTCTCATACCGAAGTGAACTAAAGGCCAAGCAAATGTCTTCTTTTAAAGTCCCTTTGTCCCGCAGTGGTACTGCTCTCGTGGAGGATCAATTCTTATGCTGGGTTATAGTGATTTGCATACTCTGCTGTCTTCCCCACTGGGCTCAGTGTCTCTAAGCAGGATTCGTGCTTTTTTTTTTTTTTTTAAAGATCTATTTTTTAATTTTTTTTATTTGACAGAGAGAGAGACAGCGAGAGAAAGAACACAAGCAGGGGGAGTGGGGGAGGGAGAAGCGGGCTTCCCACTGAGCAGGGAGCCCGATGCGGGGCTCAATCCCAGGACCCTGGGATCATGACCTGAGCCGAAGGCAGATGCCTAACGACTGAGGAACCCAGGCACCCCAGGATCCGTGCTTTTTAATAACAACTTTGACTTGTACTTGGCCATCTTCCTAGACAGACATCACACCGGGGGACCCTCACACTTTGGGAGGGAGGCGAAGTGGGCTGTGCTGTTACATACCCATTTAGTAGGTATGGATTAAACTCCTTGCTTGGGCTCTATGTTGCAGCGGCTTGGGATCCCGGCACCGCTCGCCGCTCCATCCATGGCCTTCTGCACGCAGGGTACTTTGGTTCTCCACACCCGGGGTTTTCATCTACGAAAACATGCAGTTATCGTGAGACCTGAGAGAATATGTATGATTGATATATATATATAAAACCTTTCGCACAGTGCCTTTCATCTAGCCAATGCTCAGTAAATGGTAGGCATTATTACTGTGAGCAGAAAGCCTGAGACTTACTCCCACGTGATATTATTCATTATTACGCATTGAGCAATTACTGTATGGTAAGCCTTGTGTTACCTGCTTTGGCCCAGTTAATCCTCACAAAACTGCAAGTTTTTTTTTTTTTCTTCCCTGTTTTATAGATAAAGAAATGGACGGCGCCTGGGTGGCTCAGTCGGTTAAGCGACTGCCTTCAGCTCAGGTCATGATCCTGGAGTCCCGGGATCGAGTCCCACATCGGGCTCCCTACTCGGCGGGGAGCCTGCTTCTCCCGCTGACCCTCCCCCCTCTCATGCTCTCTCTATCTCATCCTCTCTCAAATAAATAAATAAAATCTTTTTTTTTTTTAAAGATTTTATTTATTTATTTGACAGAGAGAGACACAGCGAGAGAGCTAACACAAGCAGGGGGAGGGGGAGAGGGAGAAGCAGGCTCCCCGCAGAGCAGGGAGCCCGATGTGGGACTCGATCCCAGGACTCCAGGATCATGACCTGAGCCGAAGGCAGTCGCTTAACCGACTGAGCCACCCAGGCGCCCTAAATAAATAAAATCTTAAAAAAAAAAAAAAAAAAGAAATGGAGACCCAGAGAAGTGAGGTTCTTGATGAAGGTTGCCCTCTGTTCAGTGACACAGCCAATATTTACATCCACGTCTTGCTAACCTTTATGTTTGTGCTTATCACCGTTATGCTGAGCTACTCCCCAGGTTCTTCGTGCTTCTGCTCCCTATAGGGCCTAGGCTCTGCGCTGGATCTAAAGGCAGGCAGGAACGACTTCTCAGACTCTGTTGGAGTTACTTGGGGTAACTTTCCAACAGTTTGGCTTACTTTCAGGCCATGCAAGAATTGAAAGGAAATAGGAGTTGTGGCTACAAGAGAGTCAGTGGACAAGCTCCCAGGGCCTTCTTCCCTCAGATCTGGGGTCATTTCAGCCCTCAGCAAGTAAGCAATCTTCCACCTACTCAGCTGGGGGCTAGGCCACATCTGCACACCTGGGTCCACCTGCCGCTCCCCACCCCCCCCCGGAAACAAGTCCTTTTGCTCCTGGTCTAGTTTCCACGGCCTCAGAAGCCAACAGCAGCCTGCCAGGCCCACCTCCCTTGCACATAGAAGATGCTCAGGAATCAGGAAATAGCATCCGAGAGTGAATGCATACAAGATAAAGGCAAAGCTCCGTGTTTTACGTGTTATATGTAGGAGTTTTGAAGACGAAGATTTCAAAGGATGCAAAAAAATTATAGACCCTGATCTGAACAGACTTAAATCAAAGGCTCTTTTTTTTTTTTTAAAGATTTTATTTATTTATTTGACAGAGAGAGACACAGCGAGAGAGGGAACACAAGCAGGGGGAGTGGGAGAGGGAGAAGCAGGCCTCCTGCAGAGCAGGGAGCCCAATGCGGAGCTCAATCCCAGGACCCCGGGATCATGACCTGAGCCGAAGGCAGACGCTTAACGACTGAGCCGCCCCGGCACCCCCAAAACCTCTTTGTTTAGAGGCCTGAGGGAAGCTAATATTAATAATATTGACTGCATCTTAATCTGCCAGATGAGTTCAACATTTTTCTTTATTAAAGCCTCCCAAAGCTACAATGATAATGGCCCTCTGTTGGATGCAGAGTGTATTAGAATTACTAGAGGCAATGAAAAAGTACCCTTGTGTCACCTGTGATCTGTCCCTCCACCCCCAGCAGGAGTCTGTGAAGGGGCGGGGAGGGTGAGAGGGTAGCCTCCCTCCCCGAGTCTTCCCCACTGAGAACTCTGCCCTATGCAGTTACAGTGATTTCCCCCACTTGAAGTCTGAGAGTACAAGGTCAGACCCTTGCTTGCTCTGGCTCACGATCACATAATTATCTCCATGGCAGAGTTAGGATTGAAACTCACCTCTGTCTGGCTTTTCCCACTACCCGATACCACCAGACGCTGTTTTGTGCACTGAAAGTTCAAGAGAACTGGGTTGATTTTTAACCTCACTTTTGGCTAGGGCATCACCCTCAGCTGAGTCTTACCTTCTCAGTCTCTTGCTGGTTTTTCCCTCTCGCCTGGGGGCGCATTCCCTGGGATTGAACAGTAGGAGGGCTCAAGGAAGCTACACTTTGGCGTCTTCTGAAGGTGCTCAGGGTCAAGGTTATATTTAATACAGTACGAGCTTGCTATCCTGAAAACGTTTGAAGTGATTATTTGCAAACATGTTTTTGGCCACAGGCAAATGCGATGAGAGCGGGGATACTGAGTTAAGGCAGAAGCAAGTCAGAGTTTTGTAATATATAACCTGTCTTCGGGACTCCGGACCTTGGAATAGAGATATTCAAATACCTGAGTGTACTTACTTTCTTCTGTTTTCATTGGGATGTTTGGCTGCAGGGAGGCAAACCTGAATTGGATCATTAATCCTGTTTCCTCAATGTAGAGCTTTATTCACACACATGTGCTTAGCATGGAATAGATGATCAAGCTGGGCTTGTTGAACTCCTGAAGAATGTCACTTTGCCTGCTTTTTTTTTTTTATGGTGCTAAAATATCATAAAATATACCATTTTAACTGGTTTTAAGTTTACAGTTCAGTGGCATGAAGTACATTCACGTTGTTGTATGACCATCACCACCATCTGTCTCCAGAATTTTCTCATCATCCCAAACTTGGTACCCGTGAAACACTAATATGCCCTATTTCTCTTCCTTTCCCAGCCCCTTGTAACCACCACGCTAATTTCTGCCCCTACGAATTGGACTGCCATGGGGACCTCACAGAAGTGGAACCATCCAGTATTCCTCCTTTTGTGGCCGGCTTATTTCACTGAACATAATGCCCTCAAGATGCATCCGCATTGTAGTGCGTGCCAGAAGTTCCTTCCTTTTCTAGGCTGAATCGTATTCCATTGTATGTACCCATCACATTTTGTTTATCCGCTCATCGGTTGATGGACGCTCAGGGGGTTCCCACCTTTTGGCTGTTGTGAATAATGCTGCTATGGATGTGGGTGCCCAGATATCTGCTCAAGCCCCCGCTTTCCATCTTGTCTGCTTATCTTCATATCCTGTGTCATCGTTCACCCTGAGAATTCCTACTCTTTCCAGTCTCCTGGAATAGCACTTGGCGGGGGGGGGGGGGGGTGTCCTCTTTCAATGCTCTCTTGTAAAGCCCAACAAAAAAAATGATTGGAGAAATGTTTCTGATAATAAACTTGTGGGAAAAGCTATTTTGTGTCCTGCTTTGAATCTTGCAATTTAATTGTCCACGTTTAATTCCACTTCAGGGCACATCAAGCCATTGATCTTTTTGCTTACTTGCCACCATGTGGTTTGTGGAGGGTGGAGTGGTCCATTCCTGCGCGATGTGGGGCTTCTGGCTCTTCGCTCCTTTTATAACATTCTGCACATGTTCGCTTGAGCCTGGCAATTGCCCTGCTCTATCACGCTCTGTCACTTCCTTCTCTGTATTTCAGATTGAGCTTCCAAAGCCCTGAGCAGCTGCCTGGTTGAGAAGTCATTAAACCAAAAAAAAAAAAAAAAAAAAAAAGGGAGGGAGAGAGAGAGAGAGAGAGAAATCAGTACTTAGAGAATAGCTCAGTTCTGTTGAACTCACTCTAAAAACTTTGGCTTTATTCAGGTCTTAACCATAATGCCTCATGAACCCTTCCATCTGGGTATCGTTCCGCAGTGCGCTTTGTTGGGGTGGAAGAGGACGGGTAGCCCTGCCTTGTTCTTCATCATAGTAAAGTTATTCTGGGTCTCAAAAGGCCTCATAAATCTGCTCCCCAGATGGAAGTCTCCATAGAAGGCTCCTCTCTTTGTGTGAGTCTCAGATTTCCCTTCAATTAAAATTCAACAAGTGAATAATCAAATGGATGAGGTAAATTGTAATACTAAAAAAAAAATACATATATATATGTACATATATGTATATGTATTTTTTTTTTAAGTGCTATTGTGAATTCCGATCTCCCTCCTCAGTTTATGAGTAGCTGTATCTATAGTAGGTTAACTGGCAAGTCCTCAAACAAGTCAAGGATAAGCCAAAGGTCATTAACCAACACACAGCTTTGGGTAAACAAAATGCCTCCAAGTCTCAACATATTAATTATTTATTTCTCCAAGGGAATTTCATAGCATGGGTTTGAGTTTATTAGGGTAGTTTGTAAGATCCTAAGGTTTAATCTTTCTTTCTTTTAAAAAAATATTTTATTTTATTTATTTTTTGAAATTAATTAATTTTTTAAAATTATAAATTCAATTAGCCAAGATATAGTACATCATTAGTTTTTGATATAATGTTGAATGATTCATTAGTTAAGTATAACACACAGTGCTCATCATATCATGTGCCCTCTTTAACGCCCATCACCCAGTTACCCCATCCCCCTACCCACCTCCCTTTCTGCAACTTTCACTTTGTTTGCCGGAGTCAAGAGTCTCATATGGTTTGTCTCCCTCTCTGATTTCTTCCCATTCAATTTTCCCTCCCTTCCCCTATTGTCCTCTGCACTATTCTATATGTTCCACATATGAGTGAAACCGTATGATAATTGTTTCTCTGATTGACTTATTTCACTTAGCATAACACCCTCCAGTTCCATCCATGTCGATGTAAATGGTAGATATTCATCCTTTCTGATGGCTGAGTAATATTCCATTATATATATGAACCACATCTTTTTTATCCATTCATCCATTGAAGGACATTTTGGCTCCTTCCACAGTTTGGCTATTGTGGACATTGCTGCTATGAACATTGGGGTGCAGGTGCCCCTTCGGATCACTACATTTGTATCTTTGGGGTAACTACCCAGTAGTGCAATTGTTGGGTCATAGGATAGCTCTATTTTTAACGTCTTGAGGAAGCTCCATACTGTTTTCCAGAGTGGCTGCCCCAGCTCGCATTCCCACCAACAGTGTAAGAGGGTTTCCCTTTCTCCACATCCTCGCCAACATTTGTTGTTCCCTGTCTTGTTAATTTTAGCCATTCTGACGGGTATAAGGTGGTATTTTATTTTATTTAAGTAATCTCTACACCCAATGTGGGGCCCGAACTCATGACCCCGAGATCAAGAGTTGCATGCTTTACCAACTGAGCCAGTCAGGTGGCGCAGGTTTAATTTTTCTTTACAGAAGTTATGGGAAAGGTAGACTAGGAGGCCAAAGGCATAGGCTTCAATGTGACCTTGGGAGTGAATAAGTGACCTTGGAGTGAAGAGCAGGATCTCAAGTGCTGGTCTGGGATCTCCCTCCCTGCCCTACAGACCTTGGAGATAATAGTGCATTTGGGACTGGTGGCCTAGTGGCCTGGTGGCTTGGTGCTGTGTGACACCATAGGGCACTGACTCATGACACCACGCAGGACCGCACACTTCCCATCTCTAAGTCAGAACCCTCACAGCAGCCCAGGGGCTTTCAGTGCCTCCCTCTCCCATACCAGAGCTGGGGCTACCCTCTGTTCAGGGTTGCTGCTTTGTGCCATTGGTATAAAAACCACGCAGTCCTCTTTCTACCTGCCACGCAATCCTCTACGCCTTTTAGAATTTGTTTTTATTATTACAAAAGTACCACATGTTGATTGATACAATTTTAAACAATACAGAGCAGCATAAAAAACTTAATCCTCTCCCTTTCTTCGGGTTTCTCCCCCATCATCACAGAATTGGATGTGAATCCTTTTGATTTCTGATTATATAGAAATGCAAATCATCTGTCAGATTGTTTTATCTTAAAGAAGTGGAGTCGTATTTTACCTATTATTTTTGCAATTTGTTTTTCACTTAGCAATATATATTGGCTATCTTCCCAGATCTGTATATTGAGACTTAAATCATTTGAGTTGCATAACATTACATGCAAAAATTTGATTTATCTATTCTTGTGGATAGACTTACCAGTTGTTTCTCATTTTTTACTGTTATAGACAATACTGCAACTGAAATCCTGTATATATAAGTACTGAAGCTTTTATTTCTGCAGAATAAATATCTTTTTTTTTTTTTTTTTTTTTTTTTTTTTTTTTTTTTTTTTTTAATTTTTTTATTCTTATGTTAATCCCCTTACATTACAACATTAGTTTTAGATGAAGTGTTCCATGATTCATTGTTTGTGCATAACACCCAGTGCTCCATGCAGAATGTGCCCTCCTAAATACCCACCACCAGGCTAACCCATCCTCCCACCCCCCTCCCCTCTAGAACCCTGTTTGTTTTTCAGAGTCCATCGTCTCTCATGGTTCGTCTACCCCTCCGACTTCCCCCGCTTCATTCCTCCCCTCCCGCTACCTTCTTCTTCTTCTTCTTTTTTTTTTTTCTTAACATATATTGCATTATTTGTTTCAGAGGCACAGATCTGAGATTCAACAGTCCTGCACAATTCACAGCGCTTACCAGAGCACATACACTCCCCAGTGTCTATCACCCAGTCCCCCCATCCCTCCCACCCCACCCCCCACTCCAACAACACTCAGTTTGCTTCCTGCGATTAAGAATTCCTCATATCAGTGAGATCATATGATACATGTCTTTCTCTGTTTGACTTATTTCACTCAACATAATACCCTCCAGTTCCATCCACGTCGTTGCAAATGGCAAGATCTCATTCCTTTTGATGGCTGCATAATATTCCATTGAATATATATACCACATCTTCTTTATCCATTCATCTGTCGATGGACATCTTGGCTCTTTCCACAGTTTGGCTATTGTGGACATTGCTGCTATAAACATCGGGGTGCACGTAGCCCTTCGGATCCCTACTTTTGTATCTTTGGGGTAAATACCCAGTAGTGCAATTGCTGGATCATATGGTAGCTCTATTTTCAACTTTTTGAGGAACCTCCATACAGTTTTCCAGAGTGGCTGCACCAGCTTGCATTCCCACCAACAGTGGAGGAGGGTTCCCCTTTCTCCGCATCCCCGCCAACATCTGTCGTTTCCTGACTTGTTAATTTTAGCCATTCTGACTGGTGTGAGGTGATATCTCATTGAGGTTTTGATTTGGATTTCCCTGATGCCGAGCGATATTGAGCACTTTTTCATGTGTCTGTTGGCCATTTGGATGTCTTCTTTGGAAAAATGTCTGTTCATGTCTTCTGCCCATTTCTTAATTGGATTCTTTGTTCTTTGGGTGTTGAGTTTGATGAGTTCTTTATAGATTTTGGATACTAGCCCTTTATCTGATATGTCATTTGCAAATATCTTCTCCCATTCTGTCGGTTGTCTTTTGGTTTTCTTAACTGTTTCCTTTGCTTTGCAAAAGCTTCTTATCTTGATGAAGTCCCAATAGTTCATTTTTGCCCTTGCTTCCCTTGCCTTTGGCGATGTTTCTAGGAAGAAGTTGCTTCGGCTGAGGTCAAAGAGGTTGTTGCCTGTGTTCTCCTTTAGGATTTTGATGGACTCCTGTCTCACATTGAGGTCTTTCAACCATTTGGAGTCTATTTTTGTGTGTGGTGTAAGGAAGTGGTCCAGTTTCATTCTTCTGCATGTGTCTATCCAATTTTCCCAACACCATTTGTTGAAGAGACTGTCTTTGTTCCATTGGACATTCTTTCCTGCTTTGTCGAAGATTAGTTGACCATAGAGTTGAGGGTCCATTTCTGGGCTCTCTATTCTGTTCCATTGATCGATGTGTCTGTTTTTGTGCCAGTACCATGCTGTCTTGATGATGACAGCTTTGTAATAGAGCTTGAAGTCCGGAATTGTGATGCCACCGGCTTTGCTTTTCTTTTTCAATATTCCTCTGGCTATGCGGGGTCTTTTCTGGTTCCATACAAATTTTAGGATTATTTGTTCCATTTCTTTGAAAAAAGTGGGTGGTATTTTGATGGGGATTGCATTGAATGTGTAGATTGCTCTAGGTAGCATTGACATCTTCACAATATTTGTTCTTCCAATCCATGAGCATGGAACGTTTTTCCATTTCTTTGTGTCTTCCTCAATTTCTTTCATGAGTATTTTATAGTTTTCTGAGTACAGATCCTTTGTCTCTTTGGTTAGATTTATTCCTAGGTATCTTATGGTTTTGGGTGCAATTGTAAATGGGATCGACTCCTTAATTTCTCTTTCTTCTGTCTTGTTGTTGGTGTATAGGAATGCCACTGACTTCTGTGCATTGATTTTATATCCTGCCACTTTACTGAATTCCTGTATGAGTTCTAGCAGTTTTGGGGTGGAGTCTTTTGGGTTTTCCACATAAAGTATCATATCATCTGCAAAGAGTGA